TGTTTCTGCCACCCTGCCCCCTTTGCAGAGCGAGCCCGTTCCCTCCCCCTCCGAGTCCTCGTCGTCCCCTCAGCTGGTGGCCCGGCTCTCCCCAGGCCCGCTTTGCTGGGGTTTGGAGTATGGAAAAACTGATGCTCCTTGCAGGAAAAGTTGGGCAGTCGCCGAAGTGTGGCTTGCAGTCGCTAGGAAGAGTCGGTTGAGATTTAGTAAAAGCGGCCGCGCTTGAAAGCCCCGCCTATGCACGATAAGCTGACACTAAGAACTTGGAGGGCTCGAGTTCTGGAGGTCTCCGTTTGCCTCCTGAGAAGTACCGGGTTAGCGCTTTTTTCCCCCACTCACCTCTGGCTCTCAGGGCGGGCGGATTTGTTTAAAAAAAAATAAAAATCCACACGGATGCTCGTGGTATGTTTGGGCAAACCACCAACACGCCGGTTAATTTATGGGAATTTAACCCATCATTGGCTCTCAACAATAACCAAAGGAGATCATAGCACTTCCTTGAAGCCAGAAAGCTGAAACAGCAAGTCTGTGTGGTTAATGAGCCTTGTTTAACAGTAGAGGCTCACGTGTTTGAACATTTACTGCCAACTAGAGTTTTTGCCCCTTTTGCAAAAGACTGGTGCCAGCTTCCTTCCATTCACAGGCGTGCTGCTGCTTGGCTTCAAGCTTTTAGAAGCCTGAAATGTTAAAATGCAAGATATGTTTGAATAGCCAGGATTAGTTACTTTTAGTATATACATGTATGTGGTCTGTAACCTGGATCTCTCACGGTGAATTATGCGACTAAGGCAAACTAATCTCATCTTCTTGAAGGACTCATGCATGTTGGAGGTGATGAGTAGTATCTGTATTGTAAATGCGATGTGAAAAGCCAGCTTACTTCAGAAGTTTTTGAGCGATTGGCTTTCTTTCACTGGTGATTCAGCCATTCAGGAAGCATTTATTGCTGGCCGAATATAGAAGAGAATATAAAGGATGATGTGTCTCTGTTTAGTCTCTAGTTGAGGAAGTAACAGAAAAATGCAAAACTTACAAGTTACTGGTTATGTAGTGCAGACTATATATATAAATGCCAAGGGAATGTAAAGTTGGGAAGTAGTGAAAATCAAGATTAGTCACGGAGGACTTTTTCAAGGAGCTGAATCTTGAACCTGGTCTCCAAGGATGTGATGGACATAGGCAGGGATGACTAAGGAGGGTATTCCTGGCAGAGGAAGAACAGAGGGAAGGGGTGGTGAGTAGGGGTAGAAAGGGAGCAATCCTCAAACTGAGAAGCCAGAACTCCTGCTTGGCAAAGTGATTTTTACTTTTTTCAAAATCGCTGGTAAATATTTGGAAAAATATTAGTTTGCAAATACATGGTTTGATGTGTGCCAGTTGTGCAATTCCATTGTTCCACCTCTGTAACAGCCTATTTGTAAATCTTATTTATATATTACTTATAGATGGGGCTAGATAGTGCTCAGAAATTAGTGTTAATAAAGCAACAAATGAACAAACAAGAAAAACAAAAACTCATAGACACAGACAACAGTATTGTGGTTACCAGAGGGAAGGGGGCAAGGTGGGGTAGCGTAGTAAGGGGTAAAGGGGGTCAAATATGTGGTGACAGAAGATTTGACTTTGGAATTATACACTTGAAACCTATATAATTTTTTTAACCAGTGTCACCCCAATAAATAAATAAAGGAATTAGTATTAATAATTGGAGTAAAAATATAATTGTGGCTTCGGTGGTATGTATGTTGAAAAATTGTTATCTTAACTGTGTTCCTTGAAATTGGCTTAACTAAGCGTTTGATTATAAATTCTTCGAGCCAGAATGTTGAATGCAGTACTACTTATGTAGTACTCGGTAGTGACAGGCAGACATTCCAACTCTTTACACCATTTTTTTTAAAAAACCCAGTTTTAGTTTAAATATAATTTCAACCTGGTATTCATACCAACTAAATGAAAATCATCTAGTAAATGTTTTCATTAGTTTAAAATAGGCCACATATGCTTTTAGAAGGTTTACAAACGGTAGCATAATTACATTTACTGAATGCCTTTTTACACAGATTCTACTTCACTTTCCCATTTTGTAAAAGACAAGCAGTTTTTGTCTTTATATGTGTGGGGAGGTATAAAACTGCACTTTCAAGCCAAGGGATATAAAAATAAAGTTATTTAGAATAAGCAAAAATCACTGAAAACAATGATTTAATTGATCCAGTCAAACTATTTAAAATTGAGAGTTGCTGTCCCATCCAGGTAGGCCACTTTTAAAAGATAGATTTTATATTTAGCTTTGGAACTGTATTGTTCTTTCATTAGATGTCTCAAAACTTGAAAAGCTGCCTTAACATAGCACAGCGATGCTCTTTTGTGGTACGGGCAGGGAATTTCAGGCATGCCCTCGCCACCCCCAAGCAAGGAAAGCTGCAGTCTCTGGTTGCCTGTGGTTAGGAAACTGAGCCAAAGGGTTCCTATTTATCTCATGGATTTGTAGGGATTATTCATTCATACATCTAGCATTTACTCAACTCTGCCATGTGCCAGAGGTATTTGAAGATACCTAATTTCTGCCCCTCAGGAAGTTTGAAGTTGAGATAAATAAATACAGCAAAAGGCTAAAGCAAAGGGCTATAATAATAAAACTCTAAGAGGACACAGCACAAAGGAAGGGGAGATCTACAGAAAATCAGAGATTGAGGATGCCCAGGAAAAGGCTGATGGAGAACTTGAAGCCTGAATTGAGCCTTTCCCTAAGAAGGGAAAGCTGCTACCAGTAAAGACACACAGTGAGAGACAGTAAAAAGGTATTCTGCCCAGTGAAGGTAGAGTGCAAATGAGGACTTTGTGGTCAGACAGACATGGGTTTGTTTCTGGCTAGTGGTGTAACCCCTAGGCAAGTTACTCAACCTTGCTAACCCTTCGTTCCCTCACCTGTAAAACCAGGATGTTAATAATGCCTCCCTCAAAGGTGGTTATTCATTTGACAATTTATGTGCTGGGCACCTTTTAGGGACTGGCATACAGGGGTGAACAACAACAATAACAACAAGAAAAACAAAGTGTGAATGAGAAAGGTAGGACTGGGTCATGAAGGTGTGCCTTGAGTTAACAAAGACATTCTCAGAATAGCCAGGATAACAAGTTGTTAAAATCCAAGGCTCCATTTTACTTGAAAAGAAATACGTGATAAGAATAGGAATTATTTTAGGTGAACTTCAGGTTAGGAATGAGTTTTCATTTCTTGGATGCAGACACCTTTTTTCTAACTTTTTTTTTTCTGTTTTCCTATCATCTCTGGTCTAGGCCAACTTTTTTATCCTTAAATTTTGCACTTAGTTTTCCATACCTCTGATTTTTCCTCTGTGCATTTACTACTCTGAACCTTAAAACTTGCTATTAACTGTGTGCTTGTAGTTTTGGCTAGTGATTCTTAGCACTGATATTAAGCTATGCAGAGTTACACAGATTGTAAGCATAATGGGTGACTACTTGCCTATCAGATGTTGTATGTTTCTGGAATTTATATTTTTAGGGCTATAAAATTGGCTAAATGAACATTAATTAGACTATACATCAAAAAGTGTTCCATCAATTGAGGGGAAAAAGGGGACACGTGTAGTGCCTTCAACAGTAAAGATAAATTAAAAAAAAAAAAAAGTGTTCCAGAAAAGGTTAGGGAAGACAGTATAAAGTGTCCAGTTTAGAGTTTGATATTTGAGAAAAGATCTACATTTTTAAAGCAGTTCTCATTAGAAAATCATCTTTTATTGCCTACATATGGTTTTTAAAGTATTGCTATTGAATGTACTGAAAAGAAAATGTTTGAGTTTATAGAGAAAGTAGATTGGTGTAAAATTTAACTTCAAAATTGAAAGTAACTTTTGTATCTAGAATGGTTTGAGATTTTGTGTGTCATATATAATATGGCTTGTTGTATATGTTAGGGGACATGTAACAAATACTGATGACATTATTACACTGCTAAATTAAAGAAGCTAGTTTAGGTTTCTGCACTGCCACTTTCTTCTTTGTATGTTGGACAAATTGAGAGTCTCCTAGGGAAACCATTTTACATTTTCATGGAGGCTTTGTGTGCATATCATTAATCTGTTTCTTAAAGAACAACTAAATTGTCAGGACATCTGTGTTTCTGTGTTTTTGTTGTTGTTTAACTAGCCTCTTTATTTTTCACTTGAATGATTAGACAGACATGTTTGTATGAGAAGCTGTGTCTTTATAATCAGATTATTTAGTATAGATCCCCTTCATGCTAAAACGTGCCCTTTAAATTATCAAAATATGAGAATATTAGCCCGGACGGCATGGCTTAGCAGTTGAGCATCTACCTAGGATCCAGGTGATTGCTGTTCAATTCCCA